CGGCCCGCCATCCTCCTCAAGCGGGCAGCCCCCCCCTCTGCAGAATGGGCGGCGGCCGGGGGCCGCCGCCGCCCGTGGCAGCTCAAGCAGCGTCACCCCCCGGCCCGCCACCATTCTTATTCGGGCGCCTGGGGGGCTTCTCGTCGTTCTTGCCGCTTCCAACACCTGGAGCAACATCGGTCGAGCGGGCCAGCTGCCGCTCCTCCTTCGCCTTGCGGCGCCCCTTGAGCACCGCGCTCTCCTCGGACGGCTTCTGGGGGATCCAGGACTCTAGGGCAGGCGCCACAAGCGCGCGGCCATGGCGGCCCTCCTCGCCCATGAACAGCCTGTCGTTGTCGAGGTGGCCGCTGTCGCCACCCGCCGTCGCCGCGATCAGCATGCGGGCGTACCTCTCCTCGAGCAGCTGGCATCGCCTGCCTGCAAGCTCCAGCGACGCCAGCTCGCCGAAGTTCAGCTGGTCGTACGTCAGCGCGTACCCGAAGAGCCGGCTCAAGGACTCGTGCTCTCCGACGCCCCGATCGCTGGGGCCTAAGCCCAGCAGCTGTCTCCACCAGAAGTGGCGGCGCACGGGCGTGAGCTCCTGCCGAGCGATCTCCCGCGCCAGCCATTCCGCCGTCCTCGGGCCGCTGATCCAGTCCTCGAACGCCGTCGTCGTGGTCAGCGATGCGGACTCCTTGTAGGAGCGGTGCCGCTGGCGGGCCGTCTCGTACTTCACCGGGAGGGTGCGCAGCTCGTTGGACACAGGCTCCGCCGCCTCCACTTCCCTAGGCGTAGGCATCTGCTGGCCCGGGCGGAAGAACGAGCAGGCCACGAAGACGTCGCCAACCAGGGCCACTCCACGATCTCCGCGATGGCAGCCTGCCTCCAGCTCCGCGTCGCCGACGCGCTCGCCCAGCCGAGCACCGCCGCGGTTCTCCGAGTACCGCCATCCTCCATCGCCCGAGCTCGGCGCGCCCTCCAGCGCCAGCGGCGGGGGCGCGCCCGTGGGCGGCGGCAGCGGCGGAGAAGCGGCCAGGCCCAGCTCGCGCCTCTCCTGCAGGGCCAGCTCCGCGCCATCCGCTTGGAGCCGCAAACTCTCCTCGCGGCGCAGCGGGCCCTGGGACGAGTTCCTGAACAGGTGTGCAGGCCCACGGTTCCACCCGATCGGCAAGCCTCCCATGGGGCCCAGCAAGACGAGGCTCTCGACGCCCTCCTGGAGGTCCTCGAGATACATGTCTCTCTCGGGTGTGGTCACCACCCAGGAGCCTTCGTGCACGCGCGCGCACAGAAGGCGCTCATGCCACAACAGCTCGCGCGGGTCCTCGTCGTAAGAGACGAGCACTCGCTGGCCCTGGCGAAGATGCTCTGACATCGCTTCCGTCGGTCAGGTACGGAGTCTCTGCGCTCTCCGACGTGGCACGACACTCCGAGCGACTCAAGCACCACCAGCCGCAGGAGGCAGCAGCGGCGAACCCTGCCAGGAAAGCCAGCACCGCCACCAGGAGGACCACCAGCCCAGGATAGCCCGAGCACTCTGGGGGCGGGCACGGCGCCGGCACCGTGAGGTTGGCGGGCCCGCACCTCTGCAGCTGCCCTTCCAGCAGGCGCAGCAGCTCACGGTCCACCGAGAAACCGTCTCCCAACTCGACTTGGCAGGTACAGCGCTGGCCGCACCACAGGCTGCCCAGGTGCGCCAGGCCGCCGGCGCCAGCAGCGGCAGCCCTCGCCCACTCCATAGAGGGGCGAACTACCGGCTCGCGCGGCTGATTAGAGCCAACGGTTGCGGATCACCAAATTGACAGGCCAACCCGATAAACTATCTCCAATTACAAAAGGAATGGGGCCATTTTGGTTTCCTGGGGCCCTCGTAAGGGGCCTCTTGGACCTCTCTTGGGGCGTCTTTAAGGCCTCTCGGCCTTTCTGGAAACCATCTGAGGCCGTCTTGCCCTTCTTGGCACCCTCTTGGGGCCCTCTTGGGGCTCCCTTGGGGCCCTCTTGGGGCTCACTTAGGCCGTCTCGGGGCCCTCCTGGGCCGTCTTGGGGCTGTCCTAAGCCGTCCTGGGGCGTCCTTGGGCGCCTCTGGGGCTGTTTGAACGCTCTGATATCCAAGGGAACGGATATGCTAAAAACCCACGTTTTACATGGAGGATGCGGCCATTTGGTCTCCCGGGGCCCTCGTGGGGGGCCTCTTGGACCTCTCTTGGGACGTCTTGATGGCCTCTTGGCCCTTCTGAAGCCATCTTGGGCCGTCTTGAAGCGCTCTGGTGCCCTCTTGGCGCTCTTGGAGCGCTCTCGAGCGATCTGGGAGCCTCTGGGGGTCGTCTGGGAAGCCTCCCGGGGAGAGGGGGAACCGTGGTACGAGGGGGGGGGTCGGCCCTGGGCTCCGGGGCCGGGATCTCCCATATGTGTATATATATATATATATATATATATATATATACACACTAGAACCATCGCGCGCGCTCAGGTTCTAGCCCAGGCCGGGGGGGCGCTGGACGATATTGGACAACGCTATCAAGCACAGGCGCGCGACGGCATCTGAGGAGCTTCTGGGGTGTTCCGCATGCTTCGTCAACTGGCTGTTGGAGGCACCTCTTGGGTGCCTCTTGGGGGGCGTCTGAGGGTCCCTTGGGGGCATCGGTTCTGCAATCTGAAGCTGTCATTGGCCGTCCTGGATGCGTGGAAGCCCGACTTGAGGCCACCTGCGGCCAGATTGAGGCAATCCGGAAGCCTCCTGGGGGCCTCCTGGAAGCTGTTTTGACGCATCGAGGGCACTCTTGGGCAATTTTAAAACCTCTTGGACGTCTCCTAGGGGCCTTTTGGGCCCTCGGAAGCTTTTGGGGTCCTCTTGCGGCCTCCTGTGGGCCTTTTGGGGGGAACGCTCTGCTGTTGGGTCGCGTTCCCCTTCTTGGGCCTCTCTTGAGGCTCTTGGGGCCCTCTCGGGCCGTCTTGGGCGCCTCAAGCACCGTGTTGGGGCCCTCGCGGGCCGTCTCGGGGCCCTCTTGGAGGCCTCTTCCTCTATATTGGAGCGGTATTGGAAGCCTCTTGGGCCGTCTTGGAGCATCGGGATGCCAAAAGGCAGAAAAAATTAAAACCCGTCAAAGCCCAATCGTAAAACAATGAGTTGTGCCTCTTGGGGCCACCTTGGGAGATCTCTTGGAACCTCGTCGGCCCTCTTGGGAGCTTCTTGGGGGCCTCTTGGATCCGATTGGGGGCCTCTTGGGACTTCCCGAGAACCTCTCGGGGTAGAAAGCTCGGATTCTCAGTTCGTGTTTCCCTTCTTGGGCCTCTCTTGGGGCCGTCTTGGGGCCCTCTCGGGCCTTCTTGGGCGCCTCAGGCACCGCCTTGGGGCCCTCGTGGGCCGCCCAGGGCCCTGTTCGAAGCCTCTTCGGCAATCGTGGAGCTGTCTTGGAGGCCTCTTCCTCCTCCTCGTCCTCCTCCTCCTCCTCCCACTCCTCCTCCTGATCTTCCTCCTCCCCCTGCAGCGTGTTCCGGAAGGCTCCCGCCAGAACATGCTGTGCACCAGTGCTGTCACTGCTCCCGCCACAGTGCCCTTGGTGGTGGGTCAGAGGCCTCATGGGTGTTGGTTTGGATCTCGTGGTTGGCCTGTCTGGGACGTCGTGAAGGCAGTTTCGCAGCTTCTCGGTAGCCGTTTTGGGACCGTTGTGGGGCCTCCTCGGGGCTGTTTTGTGGCCTCTTTCGGCCTCGTTTGGGCCTCCTGGGTGCCTCTTGGGGCCTCTTGGGGGCTCCTTGGGGCCTCCTGGGGCACTCTTCAAGCGGGAGGGTCGAACTTTGGAGTCGTGGTCCCCCTCTTGGGCGCATCTTGGGGCTGTCTTGGGGCTCTGTTGGGCTGTCTTTGGCGACTCTGGGGCCGTCTTGGGCCCTCTTGGGCCATCTTGGGGCGCTCTTGGGGGCCTATTGAGCTGTCTTGGAACGTCGGACAGCCGAAAAGGCTGGAAGGCCAAAATCGTTCGAAAACCTTAGTATAATTAACGATTTCGGCCTCTTGAAGCGCTGTGGAGAGGCGTCTTGAAGCGTCGCCGAGTGCCTTGGGGGGCCTCTCGGGCCGTCTTGGGCCTATCTTGGGCGTCCTGGAGCGGTCTGTCGGCGACTCGGGGCCCGCTTGGGCCGTCTTGGGAGCCTCTGGAGGCCCTCCTGGACTATTTTGGACCTGCCCGGCCGCACCGTCCTCCCACGGGGGGTTGCTCGGGGCTGTTTGGGAGCCTCGTGAAGCCTCGTTTGGGCCTCCTGGGTGCCTCTTGGGGGTCTCCTGGGGCCTCTTGGGGCCCCTTTGGGGCCTCCCGGGGCCCTGTGGAGGCGGGAGGCTCGACTTTTCGGTTCGCGGTTCCCCTCTTGGGGCCCTCTTGGGGCCGTCTTGGGCCTCTATTCGCCCGTCTTGGGCGCGTCTTGGGCCGTCTTGGGGCCCTCCAGAGCCGTCTTGAGGCCCTCTTGGAGGCCTCTTGGGCTGTCTTGGGGCGTCCGCGGGGGGCCTTTGAGCCGTCGTGGAGCGTCGCAAAGCTGAAAAGGCGGGAAAGGCAAAATGTGTCCAAAACCTTCGTAAAATTAACGATTTTGGCCTCTTGGGGCCCTCTGGGGAGGCCTCTTGGAGGCCTCTTGGAGCGTTTTGGGGGCCTCTTTGGCCGTCTTGGGCTTATCTTGGGCATCTTGGGGCCCTCTTGGCGCCCTCTTGGGCCTCTTGGAGCCTGCTGGGCCTGTCGTGGAGCGCTCTTGGGGCACTCCTGGGCCGCCTGGGCTGCTCCCGGGAGGCTCCAGGCCCCCCCCGTCCCGCCATGGGGGGTCGGGGCATCTGTCCTGGGGCCCCCGGCCTCGCCCCCAGAGAGAGAGAGAGAGAGAGAGAGAGATATATAGAGAGAGAGAGGGAACACACACACACATAACGAGAGGAACCGATAGAGAGAGAGAGAGAGACAGAGAGACAGAGAGAGAGAGAGAGTTGGGTAGGAGGCGAGGAAAACGACACATTCGAAGCTGCTGAACGCCATCGCGTGGGAGAAGCAATCCAGCTCTCTTCCACCGCGTCCAGGGGCATGTGTCCGCCTGCTGTGGTGCTCAGAATCACTCCTCTCTCACTTCCCTTGTGTGGGACCTGCGGATTTCCGAACCCTACGCTCTGCCCTCATGCGCTGTGCCATATGCACCGCTGGGGCTACTGGGAACCAACACGACTGAAGACGAACATCATCCGATCTCGTAACCTCCTCCTCCGATTGGGCCGCCTTCTTCTGGCTTGCACAACTGCTTCCGTTACGAGCCACTAGTACCATATCGTATCTGGCACCGTGAAGTACTACTGTTTATTGTATAAGCAAACGCATCTACGATTGCCTATGGCGTGAAGAACAAGCCAACACTAGTGGCAACCATGTGTCGCATAGCCAGGATAAACTGCATGGAATGAGCGCAAGCTCGCTCGTGCGCTCCTTCTGCTCTTCCACCGTTCCAGAGGAAATCTAGGCCTACGTGTCGCATCAACGGTCTGGCTTCTCGTGGCCGAGGGACCTCTGTAGTTACACCATCGCCCACGTTCAAGCGCGTGACGCTTCGCATTGAAATTGAACCTGCGCTTGCTCTGCTCAGGGCGCGCGCCGTTCTCGGGCACGCATTGCCATGATAAACGATACTACTACGTGGCCGTCGAACCCACATACACATTCGCCAGCAACTATGCCCACTTCTATGAAGCGCGCGAGCTTGAAACTTCGATATGACCACAACTAGAGGATGTGTCCTTTTCCGCAATCGCGGTTTCCTCAGACCTGGTCTTCCTTATGAACTCGACGTCAGACTTTACGCCCTCCACTCTCCTTACACATGCACTGATGCTTTCCTGTTCTGACATGACCCGCCCCTCATTGCTCCCTGCTTCCGCCCTCTATCTTCTCAACGCTCGGTCTCGGTTCCCGCGCTTGCTTTTCTCAGCGGCACTTAACCCCGCGGGTCTTGCGGAGAAGGGAAAGTAAAGGAGGGAGATCGGATGAGGGAGGGGCGAGAAACACACGCGTACATAGGGGCCTCCCAGATGGGGTCCGAGCTCTTGGGGTTGGATGATTGCGCCGCATCGCCGATGCATCGGCGACGTCGGCGGCGGCGCGTGGAGCAAGTTGGGATCCACATCGAGCTGCATCGCCGATGCATTGCCGATGCGGCGTGATCCTCCGAACCCATCTACTCGGACTCCACCTGGGAAGCCTACAATCAGTCCTCTCCGCATCCGAATACATCCGACGTGATATATTTTTCGTGGAGCTTGCATTGGACCTCTCAACCCCGCCCAGGGGACCAGTCTCTCGTCTCGAGCCGACGATCGATGGCCCAAGGGCTGGAGACTTGTCCCAAACCGGCGAATCGGTAACAGAATTTGGATTAGGGCTTCGAAGCCAACAAATGAAAACGCATGAGCGAATCACCTCTCGAGTGCGCATGAAGGCTCGGGAATGACTGGTCCCCGCGGCCCTGAATCACCACCGCAACAACAAATCGCTGGAATCGCATTTAGATGCTCAACATGCCCTGCACCCAAGACGTTATTCGCACCCCGCGTCCGCTTCAATGTGCGGGGGGGGGCGCAGGCGCGCAGGCCGCTGGGACCGCATCCTAATCAGCGATCGGAGGAACCTGAGGGGAACCTCCAAGGCTCACCTTGTGGCATCGACGTACATTGGCAGATCGACATGGGCCAGGGGCATCCCTGCAAGGTCGTGTGCTGACGAATTGCAGCTTCCCGGTCTTTGCCTTTCCGCGTCTTTGCATTGGTTATTGCGTGAGATTTGGGAAGACAAATGCAGGTGTCGCGTAAGTTGTATGTGCGAACCCTTTCGAATGAACTTTGCGCGCGTTCGACAGTTCTTATGCGCGAGCAAACTCTATGGCCCCCTCCGAGACCTACGCCGCGACTTACATTCCAACCGAACATTACTTGTCTAATGCATCCCACTTGGTTGGCACGTAATTTGCAATTTTTCCTGCTTAATACTTATATGAATGCTCCTGCTCTCCTTTTCCAATATAGGGTCCTGCTCAACTTCCCTGCCGAATGTCCTGCTTAGTTTGCCTGCTAAATAACTTCCTGCTCAATTTTCCTGCTTAATTTCCCGCTTACTTTTCCTGCTCAATTGCCTACTTAAGCTGCCTGCTTAAATTCCTGCTTAATACCAGCGCCCAATTTTTCCTGCTGAAGTTTCCTGCCTAACTTCCTCTTAGTTTTCCTGCTTACTGTTCTGCTTAATTATCCTGCCGAGCTTCTCTGCTTAATTCAGCCGATGAAATTAGCAACCTAAAATGGCGGCGCGAACAAAGATGCTCCGCTATTCGACTCCGCCACTATACCCTCGGCTCCGCTATTTCGACCCGCTAATTGGTTCGCCAATTTCGGCGTGCCCTGCGCGCGCCGAAATCAGCGAATCAGTTGGCGGGTCTGAATAGCGGATTGATTTGCGGAGGTGCGGGCGGCAGCTTGAGCCCCGCCAATGGAGCGGCTCGTCTGGGCCGACAAAGGCGGAAAATGAAGGCACTTACAGCGTGCCTGCAAGTAAAGGTTTTTCCGTGGTGAAGAAAAGCAGAGGGCCGAATTGTTGTCCGTAATTTCCTGCTTAATCTGTCTGCTTGATTTCCTGCTTCATTGTCCTCCTTAATTCCCCGCTTAATTGTCCTGCTTAGTTTCCCGCTGGATTTTCCTGATGAATTTCCTGCTGAATGTTCCTGCTTAGTTTCCTGTTTAGTTGTCCTGCTTAACTTCCTGCTTAATTATCCTGCTGAATTTCCTGCTGAATTGTCCTGCTCAATTCACCGCTTAATTTGCCCGCTTCGTCAATTCGTTGCTTTATGATTCACGCCCAACGGCCTGCTTACTTGTCCTGTTCTTTTCTGATAAACCTCCCTGCGTAATTATCTGCTTTTTCCTGTTCGACGTGCTGCTCAATTACCTGCTTAACTTTCCCGTTGAATGTTCCCGCGTAATTTCCGGTTTGATTTTTGTCCGCTGAAGTTCCGGTTTAATTGTCCAGCTTAATTTCCTGATGGCGTGTCCGGTTAATGCTTCGCTTGGTTGTTCTGCCAATCTCTTGCGTTGGTTGTGTGCTCGTTGCTTTTATTAATGATATTAGAATTTGTATTTGTCTTGCGCTCTCGACCTCCATCGCAGCGAAGCGCTGCCAGTATCTGCACGCCCGGAATGCCATGTCGGTCCGCGCTTGCGCACGGGCGTCAGAACCAACCTCCACCTCGGCCGAATCCCCCGCGGGCCTGCCCGCCCCCACCCCGCCCCCCTCGCCCAGGAGGCAGCCGCGTCGGCGAAGGCCCAAGGGGAAAGCGAAAACGGTGCCCAAGCGCTCTGCGGAGCGCAGCCAGACGGAGCAGGACTCAGTCTGGGGGGCGGGTGGGGTTCGGAGCTAGGAAGAGGGGCGCCATTCAGTCAGGGCGAGGACCCACGAGCGGCGACAGGGAGACATGGAGGCAGCAGGAACAGCAGGAGGAGGAACCATAATAAGGTTGCACGAGGACTCCCCCCTTCCCCTTACATGTTTTCTCCCCCGTCGCTCCACCGAGGCTGTTTCTTGACCCCTTGGTTGTCCTTCCTCCTCTTCGCGTCCCCGTGTCCTCTTCGTCGGCGTCGTTCCGATTTCAATGTTCATGCCCGTCCCATCGCCATTCTGATTATCCGTCGCCTTCCCTCGCATCGCCTTTCTTTGCGTCGGGATCCTGCCTCCGCCCTCGCCTTCACCCTGGTGCCCGCCCTTGCCACTGTCCCCATCCTAATGGTCATCTTGATGCGCGTCCTGATCCTCGTCCCCCGTTCCAATCTCACCCTCGTCGTCGCGTTCGTTCTCCTAATTTCCGTTCCTTGCACCGTGACCCCCGCTTCCGCCTGCGTGAGTACTATTCTCGCCACCCCCACCGCGCCCCCCATCTTCGCGCATGTCCCCATCCCGGCCCCCTGATCCTCCTCATCCCGCCTCAATCTTCAGCCCTATCTCCGTCCTCGCGGATCCTGGCTCGATCGAGCTTCGACGTTCGAGCGTTCCTCTATGCCCCCTCTCCCTCCCCACCCCAAGTCCCCTCTGGCACTCCTCGTCGGGCCCCTCGCAGCCCCCTCGCGCGCTGCGCCGGGGCAGCGAGGAGCTGGCCAGGAATAAGTTCGGCGAGCTCACGGGAGCCCAGATGGTTGCCCAGGCCCCCAGGGCAACCAGGAAAACATCGAGATCATGCCCGCGATTGATACAACAAAAAAGTAGCAATCGTCAGTCGACGACGTCATACTTCAGTGGAAACCATGGCCGCTGGCATTGCCGCTTCATCGGCCTCGGCCACCATCGTTACCGCGAACAGCAGCATCCTACTTTTCGCCGCCCCCGGCGATGCCGTCGGCGCCATCCATCGTCCGCCTGGTCGCATGGATCTGCGCAAGCATAGCTTGCGCGCCTGTCCTTGAGCAGGTTCGGGCGAGGTTCGGGCGCGACGTGCCGCGCCGCCTGTTTCGGTGCATAAGCACCGCGTGAAATCGATGCATCGGCCCCCTGGGACGCACGGAGCGCCTGCCCTCGCCCCAACATCTAGGCACAACAACTAGAAGAAACACATCAAACAGACAAGAACACAACACATGCCAAACAATTTAGTTGACGACAGCAAATGGTTCAGGATAGCAAAGGCGGGGGGTCAGACTTCATGGCGCTGGTCCACCACGACACATGCGCGGCACCTCTGGCGTCGGATTTCGCCAGGAAGTTCGGCGGGGACACTTCGCCGGAAATTAGAAGGGGAATTCACGGGGAATTTCGCCGGGGAAATTAAGCGGCAAACTAGCGGGGAAATTAGCAGGGAGACTCGCGGATGTCATGATCCGAAGCAACCCATTGCAGCGGGCTGCCCGCAGGTGGCCGCGGGGCACGGCGGCTCGGCGGGTGTGGGTGGGGGAAGGACACAACGCATCAAATAAAAGCAGAAGGCATGAACGAGCTTGGCCGACCCTCTCTGGGGCCATCATGCGCGCGAGGTTGCGCGCTGCCACTCGCGGCCCCGACGCGCCACCAATTATGCTT